TTTTATTTATAAATATATATTTTTATATATTTAAAAAATAATTGTGAAAAATATGAATATGTCATTATACTTATTATGTTATTTTATATGCAAAATATTCTAATTTTTATATAAACTTTTATACACTAAAAGAACATGATATATATGTTAAATCTTGATACCTTCTTAAGCTACATTTTTATTGTTTCGTATATAAGTAGATGTTTATCCACAATCATGATCGTAACTGATATGATTATTGAAGAAAGACTAGAATAATAATATAGGTTCTACATTTTTATATCTTATTATCAATAAATAGTATAATTTTTTATTTATTCATATATATATATCATTATTGTAATTTCACTCTTAAAGTTAATATGTGTAAAATCTTCTTTCAAAAATCACCATGTGTTCAAATATAAATGAATATACATCTATAAAATACATGTAAATAATGAATTACAAAGCATATATTTATTCCATTACATAGGAAAAAATTAATTTAAAATTTTTTTTAAAAATTTATGTATAATATTTTTTTTCGTGTCTTCATAAATATATATAAATTTTATTTTTTTTTTTACGTATATTATGTTATAATAATTACAATTATATAAAATAAATACATCAATTTGTCCAAATATATTTATTATTTTTAATACAATATATTATTTTACACAATAATAGTACTCTAATTTTTTGTGTCTTTTCATTATAAATCCTGTTCCCCTTAGTAATTTTGTTTATATTTTTTAATATAATTAAATTACTAATTCCTAATTTACAATGTTTCGTGCATCACATTCTTCAAAAAAAAGAAAAAAAAAAAAATGAATGAATACTAATAAAATTTCTTATGTGATATTATATATAATAATATGGCTGTATGATAAATATAATTTTTTTATATACTAAAACACTATATTTATGTTTATGTTAATATTTAATAGGAGCATATAATATATAGAATAAATATGTAATCATATAATCATACTTTGATATAGTTGTAAGATATATATATTTGATGTACTATTATAAATCATTATATCACAGAGCACATATTATTATGAACATAATATTAAAGCTCATATGTCATGTATCAAGATTATATCTTCTAAATTATAAAGAAATCATTGAAATTTATTAGTTTTCATAAATATTATATTATTTGAAATATATATTTATGTATATACTTATTAAAAAATTAAATATCACAAAATAATAGAACAGTAGGAATCATTTCAAAGAATAATACATATCATACAATATTATAAACATTATATAAATATATACTTATTCTCCTAATGATTCAATTAATTACAATATAATTACGTATAATATTATGTATATAATGTTTATGTAGCTTATACTTATCTGTATAATGCAACGTTAACATATATATGATATAAAAATGATATAATTTAGAAAAGTAATCTATAATATTTTCATAAAAACATATATATCTTTTTAAGAATTTTTTATTATTTCATGTTAGAGAAAATATATAATTGAATAATAGGTTTACTCTTATTAACCATGTGAGTAATATAGGAATGAATAATAATTTATATAATAATTAGATTAACATTTATTGTAGTATAAAACCTATATAATTCTGTTTTAATATATTTTATGTATAATATTATAGACTTAATATTTTTTACGCAATATATATAAATATCTACATATATTTAAGGAAGCATATATGAACTTATAATAAAGTAGAATTTTTATTTTCTGCATATATAATTATGTGAAAATAAAAAGATGTATATTTATGTATTTAAAAATATATTTAATCCTTTTATAAGAACATTTATAAGATTAGTTATTTAATAATATATTTTTAGCATATATATTTTATTACGAAAATATAAAAAATATCATTACATGTTATTAATATACATTCATTTATTTTTTAATCCTATGATAATAAAGAAAAAAGAACACTTTTTTATATATAGATCATATGATTATATATTTATGTGATCAAATTTGTGTAAATATATATACATTATGATCTTATATGTAGATAATTCTATTTGCATATTTTATAATTTTATGTTGTATAGATAATGTGTATTTATATTAGAAAACATAGAATTATACACATAATTAATTTAAAGGATAAAAAATGGAAAGAACGAACAATTAAATATATTTTATCGAATACATATATTATTCCTACTGTTATATATTATATAATATATTTTTGTGTGTTTTTGTTAATTGAATTAAAAACTTTGGGATACTTACTTTTCATATAAAATAGTTTAACATTTAATGATCCTTTAATTATCAACAAATTCGGATTTTGTTCTTTTCCTTTGAATAATAAGTATCATTAATAAAGTTTAAATATATAATTTCATATTTATATTCATATCATATAGTAAAATGTGAACAGGAGCTTCATGTAATATTAAATATGCCATGTACATAAGGACTTAATATTTATGAAATATAATATTATATATAAATTATATTTATATATATATTCATCAACAAGTACGTAACATAGAATAACATTATAAGGTGTTCTTTTTTGTAAAATAAATATTATAATTACTTTATCTTAGTATAAAAAGTATTGTATTTAATAATTTTTATATATTCCTATGCATATAAATTACATTTTCATAATATAACTTTTTAATTTAAATGTCATCGTTAAATATATAAAATAATAGTTATTCATTCAAAATATTTTATCATATTAACAAATAAATATAAAAAAAAATTTATTGATTTTTAGCGTGTGCAATAATTATTATATTTGCATATCGCTAAAACAGTGTGAATATTTTATACAAGTTATTAGGAAAATATATTTATTTAATATAATCTTTTGTAGGAAGTAAACCTGTAATAATATTAATTTATATTCCATTACTTAGATTTGGATAAAAAGTTGAAATATATATGTCATGTATAATATTTATTTATGCTCAATGATTTCTAATAACAGATAATTATAGTACATTTTTATATAATAATATAATCAGTAAAAACACAAAAGCACTAATCAATGAAATATAAATCACGTGATTTTCAACAATATATAAATAATATTGATAAAATAATATTGTCTTATATCATATTTAGCTATTATTTAAAATACACTTAATTTGTATATATAATGTCCAAACTATGTAATTGAAATATATAAATAAAATATTATACTTTATTTATCGTAATAATTCCACTATTGTTCTATAAATAATATATATAGTATTATTAAGTGAAAATAATCCATGTGTAATAAATATATATTAATTTAAACTCATTACATAATAATGTATAATAAACGTGTTATATTCACAATATAAAAGAAAATAAATCAATTAATGATGAAAATAAATATGCACTTATTCTATATATATAAATAATTATAAGACCTTAATATATATTAGAATTAATAATTCAACGATTATGTAAAGCTACAATATTGTTTATTTTAAAAATATATTCCATAATATAATAAATATCAGGAATATTAAATCATCAATTTGTACAGATATATAAAAGCATAATATTTTACTAAAATAATATGTAGGAGATATTCGCATAAATTATAATATATAAAATATATTATTAGTATATTGTGTATATAATTACATTATAAGAATTTATTATACATTTAACAAGCATATATATGTTTATTACAAATATAGATTTATGAATTTTATTATGCATATATTTTGAAATAAATATAATGTTAACTAATTTTTACACATGTTCTAAATGATATATTGATGTATTATATATATAGTATTTTTTCATTGTTATATATCTTTTATTACATAAGAAATAAGAATTATATATCATTTTTATTAATAAAAGAAGTTTTTATTTGAGCTATTCTCTTTTATAAAAGTTTTCTTTTTATTTTAAGCAATCCGTAATTTATTTTCCTTTAATTTAATGCATATTTAAATAATACATGTTTCCCTTGTGTCAAATAATTATAATCATAAAAATAATTTATTATTAATAAAAAAATATATAGTTAGGAGAAAAGAAGATTCATTTATTTTAATGAGAAAAATATATTATATTATATGCTAATATATCATTTTAATTACACTTATATAATAACTATTTTTTTTTATATTTATATAATTCTTGGGATAAGCACATAAATTAATTTATATTATATTTTTATATAAATATTTTATTTTATAATATAAAGATAATTTTTTAATATAAAAATATTCATTATAGAACAGTGTTGACATAATAGAGTAGAAATTGTTTTAATTTGAAAATATGTGCCTATAATATCTGTACTAAAATTATATATACAAATTATATTATAAAACATTTTATATTAATATATGTATAATTCTTATTCAAATAATCATATATATTTATCAGATTATACATTACATATTATATATGGATTATGTATATAAAACAGTTTATTTCAAGGTCTAAAACATTTTTAAAGTTATGATCTCTTTACATTAAAAATAATTTCATGTTTCTATGTTTAGTATATATTAGTTTAAGGAATATAGAGTATTTCATCATATTATATTCGTACGTAATATTTCTTCAATTATACATTTCTCACAACATATAATATTATAGAAATATATATTAATATAAATGC